AACACTGCCCATTTGATTCCATCTCGGCCAGGAATCGAACCCGGCCCCTTATGACTACGACCCCCAAGAGCTATTCCCCCTCTGCACCACCTGTGTATGAAGAATCGAGCTCTTAGCTCTTGGACCCCGCCTCTAGGGGAAGCTACAGAAGGCCTATTGGAGCCCCATGCAAGGTAGGTCCTATTTTTACAAACCCACATTAACTCATTCGCTTGTCTAACCTCATCTGTAAACAATTTACCCACCTCGCATCAATTATAATTCTTAGCAACGTATTCCATAAATCAACAAATCCTATTTCTAATCCCGTATTTATCCATCTCTCTACTCAATCTAAACTTATCCTATTTGCATTCATTGTTCGCTCTTCTATAATTGGAAATATTACAGCCCCGCACAACGACAAATTCGCATCGGAGAATCTTTCGGTCAAGATGCATAGTGAAGTTGAGACGTCTTAGCCTGTCCTACAGACGCTAATTGGTTGGGATTTAGGTGGGGGGGGGGAAGACGTGATCTCATCATTGGACATTTGACAGGTGATGGATGCTGTGATTCCTCCACAGGAGGAACGTCTCTCACTTACGGTGAACGGTGAACAGAAATCATCTCGTTGCTCAGCATCTAAGCGAACGGTGTATTCCATTGTACGTGATGAACGAAATACCGCTCCACAAGAGCGTGTACACGTTGAACAACGTTCCACAAGAGCGTGTGCAAGCTGAACAACGTTCCACAAGAGCGTGTGCATGCTGAACAACGCTCCACAAGAGCGTGTTCACTCTGAACAACGCTCCACAAGAGCGTGTACGCGCTGAACACCACAAGAACGTGTACTGGTGTTCCATTACTTAGCAATGATTGCTTAATTTGCTGTCAGTGTGGGACGAGGCTGGCGTGCCTCCTGCGACACCCATCTAAAGGCCTCTAATTTGAATACATCAATAGCCGAATGGAAGAGAACAGCTGCATGTCAAGAGGTTAATTGGCTTCTGATGTTTGCACCATCCATAGCATGTCAAGCTCTCAGAGACCAGCTGTGTGGTGAGTGTTAAGGTGGCGAGTCTACACCAGCTGTGTGGTGAGTGTTAAGGTGGCGAGTCTACACCAGCTGTGTGGTGAGTGTTAAGGTGGCGAGTCTACACCAGCTGTGTGGTGGAGGGTGTTAAGGTGGCGAGTCTACACCAGCTGTGTGGTGGTGGGTGTTAAGGTGGCGAGTCTACACCAGCTGTGTGGTGGTGAGTGTTAAGGTGGCGAGTCTACACCAGCTGTGTGGTGAGTGTTAAGGTGGCGAGTCTACACCAGCTGTGTGGTGGTGGGTGTTAAGGTGGCGAGTCTACACCAGCTGTGTGGTGAGTGTTAAGGTGGCGAGTCTACACCAGCTGTGTGGTGAGTGTTAAGGTGGTGAGTCTACACCAGCTGTGTGGTGGAGGGTGTTAAGGTGGCGAGTCTACACCAGCTGTGTGGTGGAGGGGTGTTAAGGTGGTGAGTCTACACCAGCTGTGTGGTGGAGGGTGTTAAGGTGGTGAGTCTACACCAGCTGTGTGGTGGAGGGTGTTAAGGTGGTGAGTCTACACCAGCTGTGTGGTGGAGGGTGTTAAGGTGGTGAGTCTACACCAGCTGTGTGGTGGTGGGTGTTAAGGTGGCGAGTCTACACCAGCTGTGTGGTGGAGGGTGTTGAGGTGGCGAGTCTACACCAGCTGTGTGGTGGAGGGTGTTAAGGTGGTGAGTCTACACCAGCTGTGTGGTGGAGGGTGTTAAGGTGGTGAGTCTACACCAGCTGTGTGGTGGAGGGTGTTAAGGTGGTGAGTCTACACCAGCTGTGTGGTGGAGGGTGTTAAGGTGGTGAGTCTACACCAGCTGTGTGGTGGTGGGTGTTAAGGTGGCGAGTCTACACCAGCTGTGTGGTGGAGGGTGTTGAGGTGGCGAGTCTACACCAGCTGTGTGGTGGAGGGTGTTAAGGTGGCGAGTCTACACCAGCTGTGTGGTGAGTGTTAAGGTGGCGAGTCTACACCAGCTGTGTGGTGGAGGGTGTTGAGGTGGCGAGTCTACACCAGCTGTGTGGTGGAGGGTGTTAAGGTGGCGAGACAACACCAGCTGTGTGGTGGAGGGTGTTAAGGTGGTGTGTCTACACCACCTGTGTGGTGGAGGGGTGTTAAGGTGGCGAGTCTACACCAGCTGTGTGGTGGAGGGTGTTAAGGTGGTGAGTCTACACCACCTGTGTGGTGGAGGGTGTTAAGGTGGTGTGTCTACACCACCTGTGTGGTGGAGGGGTGTTAAGGTGGCGAGTCTACACCAGCTGTGTGGTGGAGGGTGTTGAGCTGAACTAAATAACGAGAGAAATAAACAACGAGAAGATCCCAACCAAAGATAAACACGGTGATGGATAATGAGAAACATTTAGAAAAATATTGTAAGTGGAGCCGAGTTCTGTATAATGGGAGAAGCACGCGAGAGCAAAATAGGGACGAGATAAGAAGAGTGAGAAAATAGGAACCGAGAGAATGAGGATGATGAGAGAGAGAGAGAGGTGATTGGGGGGGGGGGGTGTTTGATTTACGCGTCTCGTGTATCTCCTCATCGGAAAATGTTATTCAACAGTGTGGCCAAAACGACGCTGCGCTAATTACACCTAACCGGAGTAATGACTTACTGGATTTACGAGATGGTATCGCTTTCCTTTGGGGGCTGTGCTGTAATGAAGCTGTTCTTGGGAGCCTCGTCTTCTCCTACTGGCAGGTGTAGATCTGTGTGAAATGGTGGAGGCCTCTCTCTCTCTCTCTCTCTCTCTCTCTCTCTCTCTCTCTCTCTCTCTCTCTCTCTCTCTCTCTCTCTCTCACGCTTTTAGACTTTGCCAATTCCATCCCAATTCCTTGCCCTTCTTGGCAATGATTCGAAGTTGTCAAAGACTCTTGCGTTCCTCAAGACCTGGATGGATAAAGGCGTTGTGTTGACGATATAGTGGAGTCTCTGGTCACCTTGTCAACCATGGCTTCCTGTCACACAGTCACCACCACAGTCACCACCACAGTCACCACCACCACAGTTACCACCACCACAGTCACCACCACAATCACCACCACAGTCACCACCACCACAGTCACCACCACCACAGTCACCACCACAGTCACCACCACAGTCACCACCACCACAGTCACCACCACAGTCACCACCACCACAGTCACCACCACCACAGTCACCACCACCACAGTCACCACCACCACAGTCACCACCACAGTCACCACCACCACAGTCACCACCACCACAGTCACCACCACCACAGTCACCACCACCACAGTCACCACCACCACAGTCACCACCACCACAGTCACCACCACAGTCACCACCACCACAGTCACCACCACAGTCACCACCACCACAGTCACCACCACCACAGTCACCACCACAGTCACCACCACCACTCACCACCACCACCAGTCACCACCACCACAGTCACCACCACAAATGTCACCACCACCACAGTCACCACCACCACAGTCACCACCACCACAGTCACACCACCACAGTCACCACCACCACAGTCACCACCACCAGTCACCACCACCACAGTCACCACCACCACAGTCACCACCACCACAGTCACCACCACCACAGTCACCACCACCACAGTCACCACCACCACAGTCACCACCCACAGTCACCACCACCACAGTCACCACCACCACAGTCACCACCACCACAGTCACCACCACCACAGTCACCACCACCACAGTCACCACCACCACAGTCACCACCACCACAGTCACCACCCACAGTCACCACCACCACAGTCACCACCACCACAGTCACCACCACCACAGTCACCACCACCACAGTCACCACCACCACAGTCACCCACCACAGTCACCACCACCACAGTCACCACACCACAGTCACCACCACCACAGTCACCACCACCACAGTCACCACCACCACAGTCACCACCACCACAGTCACCACCACCACAGTCACCACCACCACAGTCACACCACCACACACCACCACCACAGTCACCACCACCACAGTCACCACCACCACAGTCACCACCACCACAGTC